AAATTATGAGAGATTTCTTTAAGGGTTTATGCTATAGAGAAAAAGTTCTTAAAATGATGTGAGATCTTTGTAAGGGTTTTTGTCCATAAAGGTTTCTGCTTTAAAATATTTACAAGACATTTAAAGTCATAATGTGCACTAAATTTATAAATTTGGGAAGCTGCAAGCTGTTTTACATTATATGTATAATAATATATAAAAATTTACTAATTGCAGAACTAATCTTGATATTATTCGTGTCAAAAGGTCCCAGAAACAAAGAGTATTTCAAATTCTAGACAATTATTTCCTCACAATCTCCTTACTACTTCAACCTTTCATGTCTTACAAATCCTTTTTAATTGGCCATTCACTTTTGTGAATTATCACCAACTTGCTCAAGAAACTATTTAAGACAACAACAAAAAATATATATATAAAAAAAGAAGGACCAGCCAGTGGACACCTCAGGTGTGGCGGGATGGCACTTCTCCCTCTCCGGCGCTTACTGACCCCCAAAGTGCCAACAATTTATGGAGTCGCAGCAAGTCGCCTAGCGCCCGCTGATCGCGTCTCGCGAATCGCGTTCCATTCACTGGCGATATTTCACTGCTTTATTAAGTTAATTTCATATATCACAACTGCAGGCGCCAGTCGCTTGTAGGGCATTTGAGTGGCTATACCCCCGTCCCCATCCTGGCCAAGCCCCCATTTGGGAAGGCTCCTCTTGACCAGGATGGACTGTGGTGCGCAGCTTGAGCTCGTTACTTTGATGCATTTGGGGCGCGCGTTTATTTGTGGACGCCACCAGAACAACAGCGGGACACTGCACTTGGAGAAAATTTTAGATCAAGGGAATAAATTCGAGAAATTTGTGGTGAATTAAGAGGAGTAATTTAGAAGGTATTCCTTTTAAAAATATGAATTCAAAGACTAGTTTAAGTACTAGTTATAAACCTATTTATATTCATTATTTTATTAAGTATATATATATATTTTATATTGAAAAAAATACCCTACTAACTCGTTTTAATTTTCTTGTTGTGCACTTTTTAATACCCTGACTTGGTTCGATCGCGAGTAAACAGTATCTCAAGACTCGATTAAGATAGTTCATCGAATCGTCGGCCTGAACAATGCCCACATTGGCAACATCACTCAATTGATTGGCGCGATTTCCCACTCCCCAAGACTTTCCCCGACCCTCAAGACCTAAAAGTCGACTGTTTTTTATGCCGGCGACCGCCCATTAGCCACATGCGCGCCTGCGTGACACAACGGCATCAATCAAAGTTTCACCCGTTCCCATGACATATTCCGTACATTTGGCATGTGTGTGTGTGGGTGGCTTCGAATCGGGGATTGGAATTGGGAGTGGAAGTGGGCATAGGTTTCGTGGGGTTGGAGGTGCCACCTCCCATAGGCGTGTATTGGATATTCCGGGTGCCGGCTGCGCGTAAAAGACATTTTGACAAATTCAAGTAGCGCCATCTACACTCGACTTTAATAGCTTTTATACTGCTTGTCACGATATTTCATCAGTCAGCCCAAACCACGGCCCAAAAAGAACGAGAATAAATGGATTGACACACATGGCACTGGCAGTGGTAGGAACCATGGAGGAAGCGCGAATTTTATTCGATGTTATTTCCATTTGAAAATGAGTTATTGACACATGTAGCCACCCCCGAAAAAAACGGGGGACAGAACGCAACCGCAGGACCAGCTCCCGATTCCCGCTCCCCCCCAGATTCGTAAATATTACGGAACATTGCGTGGGAGCGGCCAAAGGCAAAGAGCGCGCATAAATTTCGGGCTGCCAAAAACCGGGGGAACCCCCCTTGTTACAGCCTGGCGCTCCGCTCGTTCAGATTGCGATTTGCTTGCTTTCTTTCTCCGATTTGATTTATTTTATTTGCTTTGTGCGGCGCCGCAAGTGCTTCGCCCAATGGTTTATTAATATCGTAGGCGTTGCTAGTAACGTGGCGCTTTTGTTTGCCGAAGTGATTCGCCAGCCGGATACGTTGCTCGCACTCGTAACTATATTATATTCCCACAACGGGGCGAGAGCGGTTAATCAAATATCCCCTCATTATGGTCGTTATAACACGGGACTAAGTAGTGGCGGGTGTAGCCCCGCCGGAGTTGGCTTTCCTTGGGATAGTTTACCTTATAATTTGGAGATTTAATGAGGGGAGAGGGTGTATCTCATTTGGAAATATTAAGGGGTTAATATCTAATGACTCTATATAATGAATTGTTTGTTAATACAGCTTGTATAAATATAAAAAATGTAAACAATACATAACAGTTGTAAAGTATATTGTTTGGGTTTATTCAAGCAAACATATTTCCAGCTGGTCAAAATACAAATATAGTAAAATAAATTAAAACAAGAAAAAAAGCTAACCAAAGTTTGTATACCCTTGCAGGTAACAATTAAAATATATCATAACTAAGCCAAAAATGTATTAATTTCGATTCGGAAAGCAGTTTTGTGTTAGTTTTTATTAATTTAAAAAAACTGCATACCAAATTTAAAATTTGAAGAATTTAAAATTTTTGGTCATTTTTGAGAATTTTAATGAAATCGATTTCTTCCGGACATGTCTAGAAAGATTCGCATGTTAATGCTGATCAAGAATATATATGGTTTATGGGGTCGGAAATGATTCCTTGACTTAGAAAAATATTATTTTGCATTATAAAATCTGATTTTTTATATTAAAAAACTTCTTGATTTTTTTTTAAATTAAAAATATCATAACTCGGCCAAAAGAGCATTAATTTTAAATCGGAAAACTGTTCTGTGCAAGATTCTCTACAGTTAATAATTCTGCATTCATTTATTTGAATTTTGAATTTTGAATTTTTGAATTGAATTTTGAAAATTCAATTTTTTATCAAAATCAAAAATTTTAATGATGTAACCCCTTAGAAAATTTTGCAAAAATGCCCAAAAAATCGATTTCTTCCTGACATATATAGAAAGATTCCCCTGTTGATGCTGATCAAGAATATATATACCTTATAGGGTCGGAAACGTCTCCTTCACTGCGTTGCAAACTTCTGACTGAAATTATAATACCCTGCAAGGTTATAATAAATAGGGTTTGTGGTAGGTGTGACAATTTAAACAAAATATTTTTCATTTTAAAGTATAATGAGCATATTTTACAATGTTTCTTCTCAATATTATATTAAAATTTATCTAAGAATTCAATAGCTTTTGGAAATAAATGACTTTTGGCAATCAATAGCTCTTTAACCAATTGTCGTCCTTAATGAGCCATGAAATAGACGAATTTGTTGAACTTTCTTAACAAATTAAAATTAAAAAAACATAACCAGGTCACAAAAGCAATTCAAAGCTTTTCTGTTTCAGTTTTTCTTAGATTAATAAATCTCCTGCAATACTAAATTATCTCAGTAAATATTAAGTTAGTAAACCTTCAGTTATTTACCTAAATGGTGTTCCTTAAAGAGCTCTGCTGCACTTCCCCAATTCAACGTATTTATATCCTGGCAAGACACCACAACTAACATATAGTTAGATGACTGATTGATGAAGTAGATGAACCAACGAACGAGCGGACGGACGGACAAGTGATGAAGCGAATTGCGTACGTGTGAGTGTGTAAGCGCCGCATTAGATATTCATACGCACCGTGGTCCACAGCTGGATGGGGATACAAGGAGGTATGGATACCCGCACCCGCAGAGACGAGACGAATGTCCTGGGGCCGCCCAGGCGCTGTTGCTGTCTGATAAATCACATATTTTCGCTGATCAAATCAATCTAATTGACATCACTCAAAATGATGGCGGAAAAGTTTCCACATTCATTTTCGCATTCGAACCAAAAAAAAAAAGAAAATAGCAGAAAAGGCAGCGAATAAATGAGTTCCACCCCCGCAGAACGCCCTGGGCTCTGTTTTGGTTTAATGGTGGCTCTGTTTTTCTCTTGTGGTGCGTACCCATTCCCCACTTGCCATCCGCCATACACATGGTTACCCCCAGTCCCAGTTTCCACACCCACTCCCGCTCCCTGTTGCCTATGCGGTAAGGCAGCGTGATTTATTTTCATTCCGATGGCAACGCCACCCAAATTCGACGCTCCGTCATCCTGACATTCGAATTGAAATGCAAATTCTGACGAATGTGCGCTGGTTTGGCGCACATGCCTGGATCCGTATCCGGATGGGTGTACGACCACGGAGGAGGAGCTGGAGCAGGAGCAGGAGCGGCGGATTGACTGACGAATGACTCCCGGCGACAGTAGGCGGTAAATGAGCGAGCTATCCATGTGTGTTACTTTCAGGACGCAGGATACACATACACACTCCTATATACACACACAGATACGCACACACACTCATGGGCATAATCAAAGCCATCCACATAGATATGGATTGGGATTGGGATTCTGGATTTGGATTCTGGCTCCGATTCAGATTCGTGGTGTGGCGTACCTTCGCATGTGCGTACCACTTCACATGCATCCCACGCCATTTGATTTGAATAGCACGGAATGGCATCTCATTTACTCTCTCGCATCATTATTTTTGATCCGAATACCTAAGATGCTCGAGGACTGAATCCGGCTGCGAGGCCGTGTCCAATCGATTACCGGAGTGTGCTCTAGCAGAAGCCGGAATAACCCGAAGGTAAGGTAACACTCCATATTGATTCGAGTGCACTCTTGAGTCGAGATATTTAAGTATTGTAAATTAAATCCTTTTTTAGGGCAGTTTAAAATATCTTAAATTTTTAAGATTTAAAACAAGTATACATTTTTTGCCAAAAGAAAACCTCCGAAATGCTTAAAAGGAAAAATTCAATATAATTTTTACAGAGCTCCTCTTAAAAAACTTGAATTTTCTAACCTTAACATTCCAAAAAGCCCACGTTTTGGCCACACATATTAATGCATAGAACCTAGACTGTGCCATGTGCTATGGACTGCTATATAACCGTACCCGTACTCCTATCCCTACTATATATATATGGTAAATACTCACCCCACAACTCTCTCCAGTCACAGGATCCAACCTCCACTTCTAATGAAAGCTGCCGGTTTCGTCAGTTAATTCAACATCTGCAAAGTGCATGCATGTACATATTTTTAAAACAATGTCTGTTACCAGAGGAGGCCTACTTAAAGCGGGCATCATCAGCCGCAGGAGCAGTAGAAACAGGACCAGGAACTGCAGCAGGAGGAGCAGGAGCTTCTTCCCGTCGTCCATCAGCCAGGACGTATGTAGTACGTGGTGTCGGCCAGCATGTAAATGCTGCTTACAGGCCCAGACAATATTAACAATTCCCCGCAACTTGGCCGACACTGTACTCGAGGTGGTCCTGTGTGTGCCTGTGTGTGTGTTGGCGGACATTATATGCACATAAAGTGCTCTCCTCCGTCCGTTGTCCTTTGTCCCCTTCGTCCTTTTGCTGCCTTCACGACACACTCGGTTGCCATGTTTGTGTTTTTGTACCCGCCATAGTCGTCGCTGCTCCTTGGCCACGTTAACAACTGTATCCCCTTGTGGGCGCTCTCGTTTGATGTTGCCGAGGATGTCCTTCGTGCCCTGTAGGAAATGCTGGCCGGCCGTGTCCTGGCATCCTCCTGAAATTATGCCACAATATTTTTCAATTCTTTAGCGAAATTCTAGTAAGTTTCTAGGGAGAGGATTAATAAGAGAATTGGGGGATGAAATTTTGTATAAGTTTAACAATTTTTAAAGTGAAAAATTTAGTGTATTTAAGGGGAATTAATTAAAGTTAGCTTTTTATTTTAAAGTATACATTATAATATATATATTTCTACTTAGACTAAGTAGAAATTGGGGTTTGCTATCCTGAGTATAAAGATCAACTGCAAAATAGATTAAAAATCCCAGCTTAAGCTCTAAAAATTCATTAAAAACCAGGACTCCTCCTCTGCCTAGTTTATTCCACATACGGAAAATCCTGTGTACCTAACTCTCTTGTGGAATGAGGACCAACTACTGATGGTGTGTGTGTGTGTTGTTCTTGGACTGCCACCGTCAGTGACGTTGTCGTTGGCGTTGTTGTTGTCAGTGTCGGTCTCGGTCTCGGCGGTCCAGTCGCAGTCGCCGTCCCCGTCCCCGTCGCCGGCAAAGTTGTTCAAGTGGCAGCTTAATTCGCATAAAATGAAAACACGCTGTCTACATTGTTCCTACAACTTTTGGAGTTTTTTATGGCACTTAAAATGGCTGCTAGACAAAGGCTTAACAAACGGCCACTGCAGGATCTTTATTACGTCTGCGCTGGCGTGTGTGTTCTCCTTTAGTTTCTGGCCACCTCCAAGACAATAATGGTGTAGCCAACAGGCTTATTAAAGCTGCCCCTGGCCAACTATTCAAAAATTCAATCATAGCTTCCTAAGAGAGAGAGAGAGGAAAATCCACACACATACTCCGCTTATATAGCCAGGGATTGTGGCTGATTCGCTACGTGGATGTGGATACCATATGACCTGTTTAAAAAAGTGTCGCAGCCACCCAACGCCGGCAAACACCACTGGCCAAAAATCAATAAATGCAAATTCATTTTTATTGTTAACATTTAAATAAAAGGTTGGTCTTCATGGCCAGCATACAATGTAAAAAGCCCGGGAATGCCACCTCCGATAAACCAACGTCAATGAAAGCACTCACAATTTTTTATAAACTCCCTGTTCTTCATCCGCAAGCGCCAGACCTTTGCGGGCCCAACTCAGTCCATGATTTCCTCATCGTTTTGGCCCTGTTTCACCCTGTCCACCTGGCCAAAAAGGACATCAGGCAACAGAGTGTTAAGCTGCAAGTCCGCAAATAATCGAATATCCCGGTGAATCTCATTTTTAAAGCGGAAAATTTAATGGAATTTAAAAGGTAATTTTCTGGTTAAGTAAATTATTAATTTAAATTAAATTGTATATAAGAATAACCTTAAGAAATATATATGTTTTAACTATAACTTTTCATTATTGAAATATTATTTCCAAATAAAATGCGCTTTCAACTTATAAGGAGTAACCTTACTAATGAATTATCACCCCTATAGGCCTCAACTAGGGATGATAATAAAGACATTATATAAGAATTTTTGTAGAAAACATTTCATTTACTTCCTGCCATTGGAGGCTGGTATTTTATAATAACAGCCAAGGGGTTGCCGGTGCCTCTGGCGGTGCTTTTCCTACAAAAAGCGTGCCAAGCGAATGAACAGCTTAATCGCCAGCACGAACGCTAAACACACTCTGTAGCGGTGGCTCCCGTTAAAAGCGACCCCTAAAAACAATAAACTAAACTCGTTTTCCGGCTGATCGTTGGTCTTTTCATAGCTGGACGGTTTTGGGAAGAGTCTTGGCAGGTAAATAAGTGAATTTTTAAGGAGCTAAAAGGGAGTAATTAGCTTGGGGAAACTTAAATAAATATATTTATTTGCTTGCTAAACAAGAACTGATATTATATATATATATATAAGCATGTTCACATATCAAACCAAATTATTCATGAAATCACTATTAATTTTCCGCTGAAAAGATCTTATCAGTTTTTAATTGCCAATCCTGAGAGTGCTCTCTTTTCTTGCATTTTTTAATTAATAAACTAATGAGACAGTATGCGATAAATTATATAAATAATTATAACAATATCCACACCCAGTGATTTTGCATTGCCTCCGCTAAAAACTAATTCCACATTTAATGGTGAGAATGGGTTGAAAGCATTAATAAGTTATGTTTGCTTAGAAGCGAATTTGCAACATTTCGCAATAATTTACACACCCAACAAGGCAGCTCGGTGAAATGTGCGTGCAGTGCCGCTGCTCTTCATTAAAATAAAAATTCATTTCGCTGAAAAAAATATGAGAGGTTGGCAGCTAGACAGGTAGGCAGGCAGTCTACCATCAAATGGAACAAATTCCATTTTAGTCGAACGCGAGAAATAGTAGTTGCATGCCGCTGCAGCTCCTAGACGGGGCACTATGAATATTCAGGGGGCCCAGACAATGTAGAAACTGACCCAAAAGCAGCCCAAATGCGACTACAAAAGCTCTACAAGGAGAGAGAGAGATATCCAAATATATATTCTATTTGGGAACAATCAATCGAGTATGCAACACATACCGCGATTCCCACAGCCGAAAGCAGGCAACGACCCTTCGTGTAGGTCCAACTTCTTGCTCCACTGCACCCAAGTGCAATCCGGTTGCATGTGGCCAACTGGCCAAAGACGAGGCCGAAACCCAAGCTGAAGCCAGGCCTCTGCGGCGCTGCAGTTGCAGTTTAGCGGTTATATTCTGCATAAATGAATATGTAATTTTATTTTATTATGGTGCAAATTGCGAATTGAATTGTTTTTTAATTATTCCATACTTCCACTCAAAGCGGCAACCACCAATTTTTCCAAACCGCCACCGCACCACACAAAGTCTAGCCAGTCGAAAATTTCATTGGAAACAAAATACTTTTTAGTCTCGAAGCCCAAACAAAACTGTTAATTATTTTGTGTATTTTGTTTCTTTTTTTTTAATTAATAACAAGATTGGTTAACGCTAGGCAAGGTGGTTTGAATAATATCATAACGATGCCACTGGTAAATAATTTAGTAATTAAAATAATAAAACAATTTGGGCAACAACTGTGTAAGCTAAGAGTTCATCCATCCATAAAACAAATATATTTCTTTAATGAAAAACTTGTATTGATTTTAAAGTAATATAAATTATATAAATGTAGATATAAGAATAAGAAAAGTATGTATATATTTAAACGACTACAATACATTTAATGAAATCTTATAATAATATTAATTTCATGTATAAAAAATATTATAAAATCCGTGACTACTTGAAACTACTTGACCAAGTGAAACCTAGGATATACATTTCATTGTCAACCTTGTTTCACTTATTAATTCATGACTAATTAGTTAAGTAAATTATATTTAAAATATCTTTAAAAATCCCTTACTACTTTTCTTTAAAACCCCCAAAGACAAAGCTAAACACCAGTTGTACTCAATTCTCAACCTTGTTGCACCTATTAATTCATGACTAATTCGTAACTACCCATATGTCAGTTCCTTTTGTACATTGAAAACGTCATGAAAGTCCGTAAAAGAGATAAATCATAACACTAGTGAATTCGACCTGTGACATGTGCACTTAACACATACTTTAGTTTAATACATTTTATGGCCGTCTCCGTCCTCGAAGCTTCAAAGTAACGTATGCAAATTTTTGCTCGCGTTTCGTGTGCGCTTCAGAGGATATTGTTTCGTTCTCGACTGGTTTTGAGCTCTTGGCTCTCAAACTCTAGCCATAACGAGAGCTACCTGGCCGACAGCCGACAGCCGGCTGCGGCTTTCTTGAACTAATTAAAAATTCCAGCGCCGCAATTGCGAAATTGGTCTCTTATCGGTTGTATCATCGACGCCACGAACGCTTAAACATGATGCGCTGATGAATAGCTGCCTAGGCTAAGGGTGCACTATATACACTATATATATATACATATATATTGTGGGGAAAATGGAAAAGCATATTTATGAATATGATTATTTTGCCCATGATAATTTTTTGTTGTTTCTCTCGCTCTGTGCAGTTTTATTTTGCAATGTCGATGGTGCGCCCGCAAAAGCGACGGAGGCGTTTTGCGAAACAATTTCTGTTTATGGTCCCAGACACGCGACGAACATACGAACATAGTTGCGTGGCTTTTCATCATACGAATAAAAAATAGGAATAACGAGAGCGCTGGAGAAAACTCTTAGTCAGGTATTTTTTCCTTTTCCCCCCATATTACTATTTTTCCTCTTGTATTTTTTCGGAGCCATTGCATGGCATTTCTCTGCTTGCCGGCGAAAATTTATGGAAACATATGCAACAGTCCGATGGTCCAGCACCTCTGATACGAGGGCTGATTTGGATAAGCTTTCTGAATAAAAGCCTTGGAAATGGCCTCCTTAAAGTGTGTGGCCAACGATAACTAAAGTATTTACCCAAACATTTTGACCAGGGATAACATCAGAATTGTTCTAAAATGATTTATATATAAGTACATATATAAAACGCTTGTATTTTTAAATACTTTAATGTTACTTCCTTTTTATTTAGTGTCAAATAAATTTTACGATGTGCCATAAACAGTTGACCTTTGTATTTCGTTACACTTAACTATGGTTAATAAAACTAATATTATAAACAGGTAATATTGCCTTTATAATGCTTTTAATATATATATTACCTTTATAATTTAACCATTTTTATATTCCTAAAAATTTTAAAAATTAAATAATTGTTTTGCATTTCTATAGTACGATTTCTTAAGTAAGAAATCGGACACATTTTTTTTTTTAATATACTTTGTGAATGTGTTTTAAATTAAAATTTTTAATGTATTAATTTAAATTTCTATTATAATAGTTAACTTACTCAAAAACTGTAATGAATTAGTTTTATATACCCAATATTTTTGAACCCAAATTAATAATGGAGAGACTGATATTCTTTATAGTTTTTAAATATTAAATAGTGACGTAAACCCATTTTAAATATCTGTACTATTCTAATAAGCATTACAGCTCTAAGGAAATTTGTTCATTGAAATTTAAGTAACTTGGTAAATTATTTAATTAGGAAAAAATTGTTTTTCACATTTTGTTTACAAATTAATTTAACAACCTGATGATCACAAGGACTGACAATATTTTTGGCATACAAATGATTTAAAATTCAATAGCTTAACAAGTAAAACCTTACTATTTTCCCATTATTTACATTTCAAACACTAAAACAAAATAATGAACTAAAAGAATACTTACATGAAAGCGCTTTGGCCGCGTGTGGTTCCGGCAACAGTGGCCGTTTTGGCCGGGTTAAAAGTGCTACCGGGGCTGGCGGGTGCAAAGTCCACGCCGCACGGGGCAACAACTCAACTTGTAAAGCTTCGGCGTGCTTGGAGGTCAAAGGCGTTATAGAACCAAGACTAGACCAAGACATTGTCGCTGACGGGCACGTGACGTGGATGTTGTTGGCACTTGAAATAATGTTACTTTCTAGCTTTTGCCGTTTTGTGTTTTTGTTTTGGTGGTAAAACTCGTAGGTGGCTCAGTCGGGAGCACGCACTTTCGGCTTATTCGCGATTTTTCGGCTTAATTCTGGCACCGCCACCCCAAAGCCACCCACCGCCCACCGCCCACTGCTGCTGCCGCTGCGACCTTGCGCGCCCACTCTCGCCCATGATGTGCGCATTACCGAGTTCGAGCGTATACTAGTCGTGTTGCATGCTCGCTTTTAGCCAAAAGCCCACTCCTGCCAAAGAGAGCGAGCGAGAGAGCGCCGCGAAGGCCGGCAAAGGGGCGAAGAGAGCGCGGGGGTTGCACAGTGGAACAGTTGGAAGTTGCGCATGTGCAGTGGAAAACGGGTTTTCTCCTTCTGGCGCGAACGAGACGGGCAGTGTGTGTGCATTGCGTCGCACCGCTCTTTCCAGCTGCCACGGCGGAGTGGGCGGTGGGCGGCGTGCGGTGGGTGGTGGTTGTGGCACTGGCACTGGAGTTGCAACTGGAACGCCCCGCCCCCTTTGGGCCAGTCGCGAAATATGGCCAAAATGTTCGCTTCGGCAGCCTTGCTATTTTTTTGGGGCAACGAATTTGCCAGCTTTTAATTAGTACACATGGCCAGAAAATGGAAAAACCAGGGGGTAGGAGTGAGTTCTTGGGGCAAGGGACTGACTCTTTTGGGGTGGTGGCGGCTGCCTTCCATATCACACCTTTGATCCAATTTAGAAATACCATAGAGTCGGCGAAATAGCCAATTAACTAGCCTCCGATCAAAAGACAGAGCACTTCCCATTCAAGGACTCGAAAAAGGGCCCAAAGCGATCCAGCAACTAGACAGCTTTTCGTGGATATGAAAGCACCGGGAGAAAGCGGAGATAGTTATATTTTGTTGATACTTCTATATAATTATTATTTTTTTAGATTTCGGTTTAAATTTGGAGATTATAAAAAATGAAACCGAAACAAGAAAGGAAGCTAAGGGAAGGAAGTGAAGCCGAAGACTGTATGCCCTTGCACTTGCGAATAGAATAATGGCATTTAATTGGAAAAGGAACATACCATAAGTAAACAAAAAACCAGGTTTAATTTTTATTTTAAAAGAGTTGCAGTATGGTTAACCAATTAGCAATTTGAATTTGTTTTCTTTACATCGATATTATCATTAAATAAAGACTGTCCCATGATTTCTGCAATATTAAATATTTCTTTAACTTAGTAATGCTTTATAAATTTCAGTTTCCTCTGTGTATGAATGCGTCCATGTCTACGCACTGTCGTACATATATTACTTAGGCGGTGCGGGTTTTTGGGGTCCCCGTAATAGGAGGATATGGGGTATATGGCTGCGCAGAACACGAGATAATCAGGCGAGCCCCGAAAGGGGCCTATACCGGGCCAGGCTAGGCTGGGCTGGGGTCTGGTCTTTGTCGAAAATTGCATCCATGTCATGCATGCGCATCCATTCATTACCTAGTGGCTGAGTGGTCGGAAGACAGCGTTTGGCGTTTTGTATCCCGGCAAATATGCCGTGTTCGCATGTTATCCCAAATGTCCCTGGCAGCTCAACTGCCCCCATGCCCCCCCTTGCTGCTCCTGGATTCTACGCCCCTTTTCCAACCAGACAGTGTGTACTTTATTTTGCCGAACGAACAAACATCTTGTCGGACGAGCAAGCAAATGACTTTTCCCTCCCAACTTTCAGCCGATGTCCTTTCTGCGAGCCGTGGTACTTTCTTCTTTTTTGGCTAGATTTTTTTTTGGGTATTGGTACCAATTTTGTCCTGGCAGTTTGTAAAGGTAACGCTGCTGAAATCCTTTCAGGTGATCCAGGTAATGCCGAAATATTGCATTCATGTTTTTTCAGTTTTTGGAAATGGGATAACAGGAATTTTAAGATGTTCTTATTGGTACTAGGAACTCTAAGCAACTTAAAAAATACTTTTTAAGCAATTTACCTTTCTTAGTTTTGATTAGCAAATTAATTAAATTGTTGCATTGCCAAAATATTTAAAATATAAATTTACCTATTTATAATTGGTACATTTTAATCTTCATTTCATAAAAAAAACATTAAAAACTAATCAAAACAAGTACAAAATCATACTAACAAAGTCAATCAAGTCTTGAAAAATGCATCTGTCTCCTATTAGCTCACCGGCATTTAAGTTATTTAATTAACAACTTATTTTTAATGGCTGCTAATCAGTCATAATGCTTTCAAAACGGTAGCATTCTTAGCCCACATTAAGCCACTGATCTAACAAATTGCTTGCCAATTACTATTAATAATGCATATAAAATGGAGGTCTTAAAAACTAATGGGTAATATTAATTGATGAAAAAATCTCTAGCCAAGTCATAAGCTTTCAGTTAACTCTTTAGCCGGCAATGACGCAAATAAACTTGAATACAGAGGCCCCTGGTACGGAGGCAAGTGCCATCAGCGATCTGAATGGGCATATTTATGGACATGCTACATGACTTCAACTTGGACTTGGTCTGGGTCTGCGACTTGGGCTCGGAATCCTATGAATCGCCTATCATATGCTGGCTCCATGATCTCAGCGATGGCGAATTTCCGCAACCGCTCATGTCAGCGAACTAGCGACGAGTTTGAATGCGATCTCGGGATCGGAATCGGGATCGGGATCGGGGCTCGAGCACAGGTATCCAGCAGATACCAGACGGCGCATTCTGAGGCCGAGCGGAGACAGCCATGGCCGGAGGAAACATGAGCCAAATAAAAAGCCCATTTGCACACAAATTTACTTCCAAAATGCCCGAGATGCGCATCATTCAAACCGAGAGGTTGAGAGGCTGAGTGCCTGAGAGGACGAGTGGACGAGAGGCCAGAGCCGAGGCCGAGTGTCCATGGTAACTGGACACCGGATGCAGATAAATCTTTGGCCAGCCGCCGGCACACATCCCCGTTTGCTACGAAGCCCAACAAGAAGCACGTTGCGTAGCCCAAGGAGGCCAGGCCAGGTGAAGTGGCCAGGTTGAAGCTCGATCGGAATCACCAGATAAGCCATGGCAACAATCCCTGCTCGAGCGGACTGCGACAAACTTAATTGCGCCTATTCCCGCATTAATTGCACACACACGCGCGACGATGGCGTCTCCCGGCCGCCGGAATGTGTTAATTAAATATTTAAATTATTCGTATTCGCATTCGTATTGGAGTTTGCTTTTGTATAGTGGATCCTTCATTACCCGGATATCGGGTGGAAGGCTGGTTGGCTGGCTGGCTGGCACGCACGGTTCTCCTCTGTCCCGCTGTCCTTGCTCGCAGGACATGCACTTTTTGGTCTAGACTGTTTGCGGTCATCGGGAAAATAACATTGGCCGCAGCAGCATCTGCATTTGCATCTGCATCCTCATCTGCTGCCTAGAGACCCCGACAATCGCGTCCGATCAGCGTGCGTTTTTATTGCACCATTCAACATTTTTTCCTGCACAGAGGGAAAAGGAAGGTAAGAGGATGGTGGAGGTTTAATTAGTTTATAGAAATGCGAGAAGATTATATATATTTTGGGGTTTTATAGTTTGGGCTATAAGCTCCTGAAATGTCCTTTATCTTACAGACTTTGACATTGAATTTGGAAGTAGTTTTCCTTAAACTGATGGCAGGCATGAATTATTTTGAGTAAATTGAAGCTATAGATGCAGAAGTATAAGGTTGAATATATTCCGAAATATTGTTATAAAGTATTGAATAAAATTATTATTATTTCATGTATTTTATGTTAAGATCTGTGTAAGTGTTTGGCTCACATTATATAGATTTTATTTATTTAGTTTTAAATTATTGAAACAACACAATGAACTTTAAAATTCAAAGCAACTTTAGGCTATCTATGCAAGTCCCTGAAAATTAAAAACCTTATTAGAAAATATAAATAAATTGTGCTTTATATATTTTTTTTTAAATATCTCAATTGGATTTTAGATATGAGGTTTATTTTCCAAGCAATCCAAAATCATTTTGTAGCTTAAAACCCTGTTGAATAAATTTTAATAAATACAAGAAGGATTATGTGATTTTATTCAATCCTAATTCCATTTTATTATCAAGCTCCAACTAGCTCTGGATTTAGAAATAACATTTCTTGCTCAAATAGGTATACAAAAGTTTATTTTATTCAATTTAAAAAAACATTCTTTTTTGTACATTTTCCCTCTGTATGCTTTTTGCTATAACAAAAAATGACGCCACGCGTGTCCTTTGGGCAAAAGCCACAAAACATTTTAGTTTTATTTGTACACGGCGCCAAAATAGAAGCTATCGAGGCGGCAGCCAGTGTCCTTGCGGTGCTCGGGCAGGCACAATTGAAAAATATATATGTACAAATATCTATATATTAATTAAATGTAGTACCCCACGGCAGCGGCGGGGCTCATAGCCAATTGTCCAGTTTTGTTCGGCAATTTTGTGGACGCTTTTTTTCCGCTGGCAAACTTTGGAAACTGGCAACTGGCAACTGGAAATGCAAAACGACGACAGGCGGGCAATAAACATGCAGGCCATCAATGCAGGTTTCGGCATAGATAAATTTGAAATAGCCGCGCTGGCGGTGGGAGTCGCTGTGGAGATACAAATTAGAGCTGGGATACGGCTATATGGCCCTCGGATACACATATACAGTTGCTATACGGCTCCATCAGCGGGCGCATTCGGCCGTTTAAAAGCCAACCACACGTGCAAGCGGACGTGTGGCGGTGGGAGCGTTGCATTTTGGCCATTTGTGCAACCGCGGAAGTGGCAGGCGAAGGGGATCAGGGGGGCCTTGGGGATGCAGCAGTGAACGAGTCCCGTGTAACCGGCGGCGGGGGCAACTTGCAACTCGCAACTGGCAACTACCAACTAGCAACCGCCGACCGCCGACTGCCGCCCTGCAGCGCCAGCACCAGCGCCAGCTCCAGCGCTCTACAATGAGTTATTGGCCTTGTTGGCGATTTTATTGCCACGGCGCAGCCATAAAATATGGTAAATTATAGCGGTTTGTTGTTTTGGCCATTTTGTAGCCGAATAATGTTCTACGTGTGCGTCCTCCTGAAGCCCCAATAGACCGGCCACGGGCACGGGCACGGGCACGGGCACCGGCCGACCTGTTCATGTTGCAGCCCCGGATTCGCTGCACACGCCCACAACACAAATGTGGTCTTGTCAAATGGAAACGCGACAAGTTTCTTTGTTTAACAAAAAGGCCCGAACACGCGCCGTTATAATATATCAATAGCCCGAATGCTGCCGCTGGCCATGTTTTATCAATTCAATTTTAAATTAATTGTATTTGCAGCGGGAAAAAACAAATTACCCGGAAAAAATTAAATCGATATTATATTTTGAAGTTATTACAGGATTTTTGGGCTTTTCTACAACATTTTTATAGGGATAAAATATACCTTATTGTTTAATTAGTTCAAATAATTTAGCAAAGTATTTCTGATTCATTTTTAGACAAGTTTTAAGATGCAGTTGTTACAAGATCCATTGGGTAAATACTTCAAAAATATTTTTTAATTAACAAGCTTTATTATATGGTTTCTTAACACATATATCTTGCAGGTTGAACAAGTTTTTAATGAAAAAATAACTGTTTTTAAAACTATTTACCTATTTATTTAGTTGTCACAAATTTCAGGGTCAACGAATTGACAAAGCCTTAAAATTATTAAAGATTTCCCCGAACAAGTAGAGTTTGTTCATAAATCTCAACACTTACAAACTACATTAAATTATTTTTTAATTATTTTTTTATAACCAAACCATAATTAATAAGCACAAGCGTTGGACAATTAAAAAGATGCAAGTCCAAATTAAATGCATCTGCCTCTCTCGCAATCATTTTGCATGTGCCAAAAACCTATTCAATTGTTTGTGACTTTTCAATTACAGCCACCACCACCACCACCCCGAAAGCCAAAATGAGCATCAGATGCTGCAATCCTTTATGCAGGCAAAGCAAAATCCTTTTTGCCACATTGCACCGAGCAGGCAATTGTGCGGAAAACCCCTAAACATGTTTTGGGTTAATTTAAAATGTGGCCCCCGAATCCAACTCTCACAGAACAAAGCGCTAAATTAATGTTGTCATTTTCCACTCGGCGGATAAAATGAAAAAGCCAGCCTCCTCCGACCGAACTGGGCCCACCAGGCCCATAATGATCTGGACTCTGCTGGCCAGCTGCAGGCCAGACTGCATCCAAATGCATTTGCCAGAGAGTGCAATTGACTGCAGATGCTGCCACGGTTCCGCAGCGGCTAATTTGAAAATACCCAAATTTATCTAATTGTCCTTTTCAACGACCGGACACCCCAACTGGAGCTTTAATGAGTTTTGTGTCCTTTGCCGCGCATGTGACTTGCTTTTAGGCCAAGTTGCAGTTCTTAAAGCTCACACATGGGCAGTTGCATTTGGTATTTAACGAAGGAAACAGTGTAATATTGAGTTTATAACTCTTAACTTTCACAGAATTCAGATAAACAATTCTGTTAAAGTTAAAAATTAAGAATAACTGATAAGATAGAAATTAAGATACAAAATTCTGTGAAAAGGTTGAAGGTTAGTACCTCAAAAAATATGGCGAAAAATACTCTAATAGCCCGCTTAAAACATAATTATAAAAAAATTTGAACATTTAAATGATGTTGCATTATTTTCTTACTTTCTTTTCAAGATATCTTAGCTTAAATTCAATATATTACATTTAAATTCATTCTTTAAACAAAACAAAAGCTTTTCAAGTGATATTAAAAACGCTTCTCATAAATTAAAAACTGAGGAATAACTTTCCAATAAATATCTCAAGAATTATAATATATATCAGGCTTCTCAAATTGTTTTTTATTTTCTTTGTGACATTTTCTAATAAGTTTAACATTTCTATATACGATTTTGCTTACCTTGACTGCCTCCTGAATTTCTTTAAAAATGTCTCCGCCCCTGCTTATAACAATCTTAAAACTTATACCCATTCGATCTGCTTCTTTAGAAACCCCAGTTGACGGAGTCACACTAATTAGGCACATGTCAGCCGGGGAAGTATATCAATCTGATAAAATGAAGTTGCTCCTCCGCCGCCGACGACGACGACGGTTACGCACAGGTAGCCACTGGGCCAACTCTTTCCATATGCATTCAGTATAGTATGTATATATTGTGATCATTATGTTTGCTTGGCACTTATAAAGGGATCAGCTGTCAATCCGAATTACAGAGCTCGACATTGTCCGAATCCGTGGAATTCCGCTGCCGAGCGGTTATGGGTAGGTCGATAATTATAATGCGACACCGACGATTTATTACTTTCATTTATAGATGTGACACACGACACTAACACACACGGCACACAAGAGGCCCGCGTGATTGAATGTATCTATATCTATATATTTCTTCGAAAAATGCGACCGCTCCCATATTGGCTGCGATTAATTAGGTTCAGTGGGTCGCCGAGAGCACAGATTTATTTATAATACTTGTATAAGGGTATATGAATGTATATATTTATCATTCCGAAGGGATTTCGATGCTTGATCATCAGCCAAAAATTGTATTAAAACTTGGTAGAGGGAGGAGAGATATTGTAATAAATGGTTTAAAATTTTATTTGAAATATTTAAATAATTCTGTAACCAAGTTCTACTGGATTACCCGATTAAATTCACTATTCATACCATTCCCCCTTGCAAATCCATCAAAAAATCATTTAAAAAGCTTAAAGAAAACCCCGTCAATGATATTAATTCAACTTTATTTATCATTAAATTTGCAAATTTACATAAATACTATTTACAATTACAAAATGTATGCCATTAGAAGTGTCTCGAACCAGTTGCTTGTGCATTTTTCGCATTTAGTATGTATAAGAAGTATGTGTGAATTAACTAAATGACCGCAGCTAATTGCTTGTTTAGTACGTTTATATGCATATATCACAGATACTTAAATTCCTCTACAAATATATCAAACGCGTAAGATGTCTAATTACATGTTTTACGATTAAGTAACTATTTATGTGTGTGTGGCTTAATTATTTGGCCGAGAGAATATAGAGTCGAAGGGTTAGGCAAAAGGGTCTTAAGCTAACTATTAAGAGTCTTACGGGGTGTATAATTTAGGATATTTAGCATTAATACAACTTGAAGGTTGCTTAAGATCTAAATGCGGCTGCCGTTTAAAATTATTAAGTAGTGTGGATTAAGCACTTAAGGTAGGAAATGTTAGTGCCAGGCTAAGACAAAGATTCTGGTTCTGTTTCTGTTTCTGGTTCTGCTGATTTATGGCGCGGTGGAGTAGTAAGAGCTGGCATTATTATATTATTGGTGTGACGCCCAAGACTCCACTCCCCACCTCGCCTCGCCTCGCCTCCGGAAAGATGAATGAGCGTGTGGTGTGCGTTTATTTCGAGTCATTAAACCCCAAGTCGGGTGACTCAGGCCCGCACGTAGAACATGACAAAGTGGGTGCTTCGGCTCCGGCTCCACCCCACGAAATCCGCAGCCACAGCCACTTCCAGTTCTCCCCTTTGGATACGGAGACGTGTGTGCGTCGCAGCGTCGTCTCTGAATTATTTCAGCGGCCGAGTGTAAATATGCTAATTAAAGTTATAAAGCGAAATAATCTATGATATGGTAGGAAATAAAGTTTTATTGCCGTACTTAAGCTACATTTATTGCAAAATAATTAGTGTAGTTATCGCTATCTGGTAATCGTTATCGTAATCGTAATCGTAGTCGCCTAGTTGCACTTGTCCCGCCATCGAAATGTGTAAATAGTTTCGCTTTTCTATTTGGTATCTGGTAACTGGTCCACGGTCCATCGGGCTTACGACCCGGAACGGCCCTCCGTTAGGTAGGCCCCATGCCCCACTCCGTGACCATGTCCCCCCACTCCATGTACGTGGCCGTAGCCCGCCGCCGCAGCTGCCGCCGCCTCGTTACTGTACAAAATGTTGACCATGGAAGCCACCGTCACCGGAGCAGCGGAATGGATCGAGGAACTGTGGCTGTGGCTGCTGCCGCTGCTGCTGCTCCCGCTGCTGCTGTTGTGGCCGCCTCCCCCCAGCTTCATAGTGGGCGGCGTCTGGGGCGGCGTATCGGGCTGAATCTCGGGAAACCCCACCGGCCGTGGATGCGGATGGACGCTGATAGGGGTGGGCGCCACCTTGCCGGAGGAGGAGCTGCTGCTGCTCCCGGAATGGCTGCTGCTGCTGGTGGGCAGATGCATGCCCATGGCCTCGGTGTACGCCGTAGGTATCCGCGAATATGGCGATCCGCCGGCGTAGCTGCTCATCATACTCAGCGGCGAACCGAGCTCCATCGAGTGGAGCTGCTGCTGCTGCTGTTGCTGCTGCTGGTGGTGGTGCTGGCTGTGGCTGTGGTGGTGCAGCTGCTCCGCCGGCGGATAAAAGTTCTGGCCGAGATACGCCGCGGTGGGCGGCGGCGTCTTGCAGGCGGCTGTGTCGGCCACGCTCCAGATCTTGGGCTTGCTCGCCGGAACTGGGATGCCACAGTCTCTGCTCAGCGGGTTTTTTTGGGCCGCAAAGTCCCCCGCCGACTCCGCATCCTGGCCGTAGCCGGGATGGTAGTATGGCTGCTCCAGCTGCTGCTGGTGGAGCTGCTGCTGTTGCTGGAGCTGCTGGTGCTGTTGCTGGTGCTGGTGCTGTTGGTGCTGCTGCTGCTGGTGGAGCTGTAGCTGCTGGGCATGCGGATGCGAGTGCGGATGGGGATTGGGGTGCGTATGCGTGTTGTGGGATTGCGCATACGAGCTGTAGGCCGCATGCATGGGATGGGCGCCGGGTGGAGTGGCATACGGAGCCAGGCCCCGCATGGCCACCAGATTGTGCGGCTCCCGTTCGAGGTCCAGCTTCTGGTCGACGCTCTCCGACTCCTTCTCCGTCTTTCCCAGCTCGGATTTGATGAGTTGACTGCCCGGATCTGCAGATTAGAAGTCGAAACGAAGAGGGAAAGAGAGACCGTGTGGAGACACAAAATAAATTTAATTAATTTCGAGTCGCAGGCAGGAAGCAGACAAGTTCTTAGAGGACTGCAAAACTTGGCACTTCCAGGAGGTGGAACTTGGCAGCTGGCAGCTGGCAGGGCCCAAGCCCGAGTCAGTGGCGAAGGCAAAAACCCTTGAAATTGTTGGTGGGCGTTGATGCGTGCAACCCTCCTCGGCAGCCAGCGGAGAAAGCTTTCAGCAGCAAAATACTCGAGTTTCCGCCAACTACCGCCCCAAGTTCCCCACCCCGTCCCAGTGTTCCCCCCTCGGTTCTCTTAAATTCTATGTGTCGCCAACTCGAACAAGGCCACTTTGGAGTCGGAATGCACAGGGAGAAAGTGGGAGGTTATTATGTCAAATCATAATAATACTTCTAATGAGTTTGTTTATGTAGTAAAAAATACCTATGCTCCGATAATTTCTATTACAAAATTGCAAGTAATAATTTTTTACTAATAAAGCTACCTAATAAATGTAATAATATTATATTTTTATGACAACAATCTCACCCTTTTTTCTCTCTGTGCTTAACTAAGAATCGGAGTGCGGGCGCAAGGCCACTTTGCCAACAATGTGCTGTCAACTTCCGGGGAGGATGTCGCCTAAGCAGTCAGACAAATAAACGGACGACGGACTATGGACTCCGGACTGAAGTCGGACGGCGGGCAGACGAATGTTGCATAACATTCGCCTCGCCACATAAATTGTACTTAAAAGCCCAGTGCCACAAATCTGCTGAGGAGGCGGGTCTGCCAAGCCAAGCGACGAATCAATGGGGCAAGGCGTTTGGAAAACAATATTCGGGGGCTCAAGAAATTACAAAGAGATCTCGTCGAGGACTACTAATTGCGGTCAGGAAATGAGAGAGCTGTGGAAAGGGGCTAAAAACTCACCAAAGGCTTCGCTGGCCAGCTTTCCGCCATCGCTCGCATCCTTCTCCTTCTCGTCGTCCGACATGAGGCCATCATCATCGTCCTCGGTCTTATTCTTGGGCTCCCAGGTCATCTTGTTCTCCTTTTTCAGCCGCCGTCGGGCATTGGCAAACCAGGTGGAGACCTGGGTGAGCGTCATCTTGGTGATAATGGCCAGCATGATCTTCTCGCCCTTCGTGGGATACGGATTCTTCTTGTGCTCACTCAGCCAGGCCTTCAGCGTGGCCGTGGACTCGCGGGTGGCGTTCTTCCGCCGGGCGGCGAGATCATAGTTGGGTCCGTATCTGCGGGTCAGAAATCAAACAGCTTGAATCAACAAATGCTACGCCCTATCAGGGCCACTAATGAGTTTGCTTGCCACAACTACATATTTTCCGGCCAGCTATCAGCTTTTCAGGTAAATAGACCGCACACCTTAAAGGCCAATAATCAGTTATTGGCCGCTGATAAGGATCGAGAATCGGGGGAGGGAATAGAGCGGAATGCATTTGCAACTTCCTCTCGTCTAGGTCAACAGTATATGGCAACTATGGTTAAATGGTAAAATGGCAAAATGGTATTCTGTTTCAGCCAGAACCGCGCTTCGGGGCCCAAACTCTAAGCCAGACATACCCTTTTAAGCGATAAATAAAAAGAAACCCGGCAGACGACACGACGAGAAAGTTTTTGTCCCATGGCAACATTTTAAGCCCACTTAAGATTCCCATTTGTATATTTGTACAGTGCGGCTTCGCTCTGGTGGAACTTTGTTACTATTTCTTTAGCTTGAAGTTAACTTTAAATATAATTTATTTGGACAATGACAAACCTGTAAGCACCAGCCATGAAAATAGAATACTAAAAATATTACCTTGCCTACTTTTCATTTCATTTTCTAATTGCTCTGAATTCTCTAAAGATTTCTGTATTAATAGTTTAACGTAATATTATTTATTAATCAGTTTCCTATAGCCCAGTCCCACTGTACTTCCCTTCACCCTGAGCTTAATGCTAAGCCAAACGTCTTAATTCTGAAATGCTCACCCGTAGGCCGCCAGCGTGGGGTCGTAAGAATAGTATCCGGTGGTTGACTGCAGACTCGCCGAGGTCCAGGCGCTCATCTCGGTGCTGGGACTGGTGTCCTTGATGCCGTAGGGATTGCTCTGCAATTGGAATGGCGAATTAGTGGCAGATCCCTCAGCGTGTGTAAGTCCCGGGAGCCCCGCAGGTAATCGTGGCAGTTACAAGTTACTGCTTGCCAGCCTAACGAGCTGATATCTGCTCCGGCTGTCGACTTGCATTTGCGCGGACTTCCGCTGACTGAACAAAGCCAATTAGCAGCACCTCCCCACTGTGTCCCATCCTTACCAGAGGTGCGTAGAACGCCGAGTTGTCCACACCGATGCTGGGATAGGGGTTCTGGTCGTTCGAGGGATACGGGCCACCGTAGACGCCCACGCCGGCGGAGGGCAGTGCCATCCGTGAGTAGCCACCAATGGCCAGCCTGGCCGGATCGTACTGGCAGGAGCAGACCGTCTGGCCGGACACCGGGTCAGTGATGATGGGTCTGCCGTTCTCGCAGCAGGATCCCCCACGCCCGCCGGCCATATCCTGGGCGGCGGCAGCAGCAGCGGCAGATGACAGGCCGCCGGGCACCTCGGCACCGCCAACTACGGTATCCTCCACCGGCGATGTGGACAGACCCTTGTGACCCGCATGGTGCGAGGACTGGGAGACGGCACCTGGACTCAAAGGGCCGACGGTCAGGCCGGTGGCCGTCGAGCCGCCCGAGGGACTCAGCGAGGCCTCGTTCGTCCCGGACAGCGGCGAACCGCCGCCATGGCCGCTCTGGCTGTCGGTATTGGCGGTCGTCAGCTGCAAGAGAGATGCCAAGAGAGATGCCAGCGTTAAGAAAAAGAGCACATTTCAGCAAAAACCCAAAAAATATAGAGCCTTGGACCCGAAACCTTTTATACACTGAGGCAATCATAATAATAGTTCAATATTTACTTAATGTATTATTTTAAACGATTTTATTATTGAATTATCATTTAAGCCCAAGAAAATACCATAATTTACTTAATATATTTTTCAATACCTCGAAGTTAAATACATATTTAAGGATCCAATATTCCCCTGGTTGTTCACCTTATAGCTTTCTGTGATCTGTTATCCTTTTCTAATCCTATTTATATTATTTTATATCATGTTTGATCCCCAGAAGTAGGTAATTTATTTAAGAATATTTTAAGTATTGAATAACTTTAATGAAAATAAAAATAACAAGGAGAAAAGTAACATATTTTTAGAATAAAACTTCAAGTGATTTAAGGAACAAGTTCCTTAAAATAATATCCCAAATATATTCCACTTTAAATTCAAATATTTCCCAATTTAATATACATTTCTCACTGTGCACGAACAGGTGAAGTTTGCAGGACCAAAAACCAACCAAAAATAAATAAAATAAAATAAAATAAAATAAAATAAGAGAAGCGACTTCGGAGCAAGGGCCGCCGCTGAGAGGTAAGCGCAAAGGCATGTCCCTGCCGACCAGGTCGAAATCAACAAAGCAGATTAAGATGATAACTCCAAATGTCAAAATATTTTATTGGCCTGGCGCATTTTGCGATCCGTTCCATCTATTTTCACTTCATTAATTTTCAATTTATCACAGTCAGATTTGAGATACCGCTCCGTTCGGTCTCGGTCTCGGTCCCGAGGATCGGGGATCTTTGAAGAGGGTTCTGTGCTCGGGCCCGTGAGTATCAGTGGACCGATCGATCGAGCGGGTATGGGCACGGCATCAAATGATGAGGGACGCAGGTAGGATCATCCAGACCTCCCCTCCCCGAACCCAATTCCAAACCCAAATATCCGCAGCGAACCTTTGAGAGCCTTCTGATTCTGAGATTGCCCGAATCGATTGGAAAGCCAAAGTGTAAATAGAAGGTCGCCCCATATGATGATCTGTCAGTCAAGTTCACTTCACGCGCTTCAAAATCGGATTTACAATAATGAGGTGTTTCGGAAAGGAACACAATTGCTACCATTTCTCCGCCTTCGATGGCTACTGCACATCCCCGATTTAAATAATAATGGTAATTCGTGGCTAAACGAGCTGATTCGCCAACACCTCCTGGCTGGCTATCTAATCGAGGGGCAATTTCGCGCCAACGCCAAAAACCAAGAGAGAGAGAGCGAATCAAGCCACCGGGCCAGGCAGGAAAATTGTTGCATAATTAAGGTGTTTCATGAATGAAATCTAATGAATTCTGAATGAATGGTCGGAGCCAAGTGGCCCAGAGGAGTCGACCGACTGTCTCCACTAATGTACAAAACGCTGGGCGCGCTCATTTCTTATTATTCTTTATTTTTTATGCGATTCGAACATCAATTTCAGTTTTTGTGGCCGCCCATAAAAAACACATATCGGCGACGACGACGACGACCACAACGACGGCTGGACCTGGACCTGGACTTGGACTGAACTGGCTTGGCTGGTCAGGTTCGGATGAAGGCTGGGGAACCGGCAGCCAGGGAACAGTGCTTATTATCGGCACGCAAGTCAGTTTATTTTTAATGGTTCCCACTCACCCACTCTGCTGAAAAATCGCAGGAAGTGCAGCGAAGAGCGCCCTGCCGCCGAGTTTATCGCAAGGTGACTGCAGATAGGATAAGCCACATGGCCACACTCCTCTGGAGGACTGGACTCTGAGTTTGGTCCCGACTTTGGGTTTGGGTTTCTATTCCGCGGAAACGCAGAAACTTGTTGGCAGCTCCTAAATGTTGTCTTAAAGTTGTGCGCTCTTTTATGACTTTTTCGGACAGCTCGCAGGCGGTGTCAAATTGCGGCAAGTTTAATAAAAAGGGAATATTCCTCCCGGACATCCCATTTGCCAACAAAGGGAATATTTTATATTCACACTTGCGGCTGCGGGGGCTATCTCCATCTCCAACTTGATCGTTTCAGTGAAGGACACTTTTCATTTGCTTGACGTTTTAAACAGAAACTTTCTTCGTTTTGCAGAAATTCTAAGAAATATTTACATTATAAAGGATTTAAGGTACTTTAAAGGCAGCGAATTAAATATTTATTTAAGGATTAAATTGGGTTTATATAAATTTATTACTTGTGGTGCTATTTCAAGCCTTTCTGATATTTATTTGGGCTTAATAAATCCCTTAGCCGTAATAAAAAACTAACAAACAGATTACATGTTTTTTTCAGGTAATTTTTAGTACAGCCATAAAATGTGATAAATGCTTTATATGGTTGATAATCCTCCTTAGTCATAAATCTGTCAAAAGTATAACTTGTTATTTAAAATTATAATGAAAAGGATCATCATCAATAATAAAAGCAAAGCGAGAACATATATTGCTCGATGGACATAATTTAATTTTATAATTAATATCCAAAGCAATGTCTGAGACCTGCAACAATTATCAATGAAGCTCGACTATGTTTCTCACTAATTGCAACTATGAAAAACCTCCAAAGGGCAGACAACTAACTCAAATGCATAATAAAAGCCTGATTTTAATGCGGCATGAACAGAGTTCAAAGTGGCAAGTCAACCTTGCAGCGAAAACATTAAATCTGCTAAACAGCTGGACAAGCGAAAGTCTTAGAAAAAGAAAACCCTAAAACTGAACTAAGCAAGCGAAAAAAAAATGCGAATATTCATTGACCGTAATTCGGGTGAACCGGCATGGACATCGTGTAAATCTCTATCTCTCTGCCTTTGAAGTGCCCATATCCACGCGGAGCAGATGCAGATGCGGAGTCTGGTGCGGCACAGATGGCCACCCGCACCCGGTGCAGGCCAAGATGTTGGGAAAACTGGTGCCGTCACTTTACGGTTATTAATTTTATGATTTATGTTAAAGCTCACGAAACCGCCTACCAAATGCCCATACCTCGTTTCACGAACGCACGAGTATGGTTAGCTGCACTGTAAGAATTAATATTACAATGTAAAAATGTACACTTTTAAAAGATTATTTATATATAAAATAAGAAAAAAAATATATATATATATTTATACAATATTGTATTTTTGTTAGTATAGGCTTATCTTTGGAAATGTGTCTTCTTCATTCATTTATTTAACAGAAAAAGGAACATGTTATCTCGATTATAATGATTGTAAAATATTAAAAAATATTAATATTAAAATGAATAAAGGTTTGCTGATTAAATGTGATATTTTCTAAAATACTTTATAGGTTTTAGTGAAATATTTTCCAATATTTTTCTTCCTATTTAGTATAATTCCATTTGTGTAAATGAAAGTATATCCCCTTGAGTTAATTAAAAATTTCTTAGATCATATATAATACTTGTCGCTTTTCTATTTTAATAAATGTGTAGAATTTTCTTAAAATATATATTAGATAAGCATTATTGTTTAACCCAATAAATATTTATATTTCCCCTTTCATTCAATTAATTTCCTTATTTTTCTCAGTGCATTTAGTACGCATATAGCCAGGGCAAAGACAAAGGAGATCGGCGCTGGAGCATTTTCTGCTGCATTGTACTATATGCTCTTGTTGTTGTTGCTGTTGTTGTGGTTATTGGTTTTGCTGCCGTTTCGGTATTGTTTTTGTTATTGCTGCTACCGCTGGGATGCGTTTATGGATTTTTGTTTTTGCACTCCTAACAACGACTGGGAAACAAAGGCGATTGGTGCTCCTGCTCCTGGCTTGTACTATATTGGGATGGGTCTCTTTGGGTGCGGGGGGGCGCCTTGACGCCAGCTCCGGAACAATAAGCGAAAATGCGAGGATCCCAGACGAACAGCCCGAAAGCCAGGAGCCAGAAGGAGAAGCTGCCAGGAGACCAAGTCCCTCTACAAACAAACACATGTTTGCCGTCGCAGTCCCAGTCGCAATCGGAATCGCATTCGAAGGCGACTCCTCCTGCTCCACCTCGGGAGGCGACTCTGCCTCTTGGATTTGGTTTTGGCATATTCTCACATTCATCCGCAGGATTGCGCTGCCAAACGAGTACGCCATATTCATACAGAAAACCCCATTCTTGAAAGCACACAGCGGAAAAAGCGTTATGATGTGACTTTCTCAACAATAACTGAAGATTTTCAGTAGTTAATACTTTAAATATGATTTATTTAGAAGTTATTAAAATTTCTTTAATTATTACAAAGTAATTTTTCGGTGTTTTCAGCAATGATTTCTCAAAAATTAAGTATTTCTTCATGAAATAATATTTTTAAATAGAAGAATAAATAAATGTTTTATGAATAATGCCAAGTTTGAATTACATGTCTTTAAGGTATTTAATTTTATTCTCTGTCCGCATTCTACTTTTATAAATTGATCCTTTTTCTTTAATATAACAAAAATTATATTAATTTTATAATGAAAATCCAGAAAATTATTTACAAATATAATTAGTTAAAAAGAGTTAATATTTTTTGCTTAGAAATTCATCTTGTCTTGTTTTCTCTCTGTGCAGGACAGCCCTGTAGTGAGTTTTTGCTAATGCGAATAAGTTGCTTGTGGCTTTCTGACTGTGCTGCGCGCGCTCCTCGTTTATTGAATTAAGTTCGAACGGCGGAACAACTCTTTCCCAACTGCGGTCTCAATGTTTGCATTAAAAATTCATAAATCAATTATGGAATGCACACGGCGAAATATTAGTTTTTTCTCGCTGTCGCCGCGCTGCCTTATAGGACCAGGGATCCATCCGGGCAGGACTCGATGTCGCCGACGCTCCTTGCAATGCTTTTTTGCGGCCTTAGAATTTTAGTTATTTCGCCATGAAATGCGTGAACAGCTCGCATGGGAAGTCGAGAATTCCCGATGTGCTCCTCTCAGTTCCTCCGGCCGTCAGCCGTTGATTAAATTCATATATACTCGTATTGCATGAGTGGACGCTTTTTGTGTCATTTTTGGAATGCCGTCTTGGCGTTGAAATTAAAATTAAATTAATGAATTCGATGTGCACTGCATTAATATGGTGGGTTTATAAATTTGGCAGCAAGTCGATGCCCCGATAGCATCTACCTACCAGTCTTTAATTGGGCTTAGTGGCTAAAACTAAACTGAATGGCTTCCTGTGTTCTGGGCTGCGAGCGGAATGCAAATGAGTCAAAACGATGACAAAATCCAGGAGGCTTTTAATCGATCCTGATGCCCAGGCTTTGCACGGCCTGGCAGCCATAATTATAGTCGATAATCTGAGCGTTCATTATTTTAATTATTGTAATTTACCAAGTTTGCATACGAGTATTATAATAAATGGTCCACCACTCAGCCGGCTTCATTAGCATAAATTTATGCCGGCCATCGTGGCCTGATATATTTATGTTTATATATATGAATATGTATATATTGAGGGGCATGTATTGGCTGCAGGATAAACGCACAAGTCTAGCATTGACGCATTAGACCACACAGTGGACGTCGAACAAGGCATTATACAAAGCATATCGGCAGAGGGCCTTTGTAGTGGCAAGTGTTTCGGCCCAGCTCCCTTGGCCAACTAATTTGAATTACTGAGCCCGGAATACCGGGTAATTATGACCAGACTTTGGCATCGGGGGAGAGGGGAGAGCGGAGATGGTGCATCCAAGGCGGCGGCAACGGCTGTCCTAAATTGTGAAACATTTCTTGGCGGCAGCGCGGGGGGCCGGCCATTATGGATATGGATACGGATCCAGGAGCAGGAGCCGCCGCCTGAATATTCATGTGTCGCCTCAGCCCCAGTAAAATGTAAATTTAAAGTTAAATTTTCCCCGACAGCATTAAAGATTTCCTTCGCACATGCCAAAACCTCGACTGACTCACTAAATTTCTGGTCGCTTTCATGTCCTCGGTGTGTGCCAAATAATATTTATTTTAAACTGAAAACTGGCGCGTTTGAAATGACAGAATTGTAAATCAAAATATAATAAATATATATGTTGATATATACTCTAAATAATAAAAACAAATAAATTATACCTGGCGGTGTTTCAATCAAATGCGTATTTAAATTAATTGCCAAGCAGTAGCAATATTTTATAAATGCATTAATTTGATTGTTTTTTTTTTTAATAAGTTTAACTCGTTTTTGAGGTGTAATTTTGTAATGAAATATTTTTTCCAGGTGGAAAATGTCTGTATTGTTTGCCGTTTTGATAATATTAACAAAGTTGTATGACTAACATTGTAATCCTTTTTGAAAGCGGAATTGATGAGTCTTTTTTTAAAGTAATTATCTAAATTTGAGAAAGTTTACTTTAAAAATATACACCAGATATACATATATGTAGAGTATTTACAGGAATTTTAACATATTTTTAAAGATTTTCGATTCGATTTCCCATAAACTTTAAATTCTTTAACTTTCAAAGCAGAGAAAACTAGTTTAAAAATAGTTAGGCTTTTATAAAAATTAATCTGATAAAATTTAAAAGAAAGGCTTTATTTTAGAAACGAATCAATAATCTTTAAAAATATAGTATCATAACAAAGCCCTTCCCTAAATGAATCTATCTCAAATTTCATTTGATTCACAAACCAAATCGCATAAAAACTAATCGTTTTACATCTTTAAAGAAAATCAAACAAAGAGTTAAGCTCTGGGCTTAGCGAGTTTCGCCAATAAAAATAAATGGTTTACATATCAAATGTTCAGCTTTAAAGGTAAACTCACCTGATTTGCCGTCGGGTAGCCAGCGTATCCAAACTGCGCATATGCAGCCATTGTTGCGCCCGCCAACTCACTGGCTTTTCGTGGATTAAAATAAAGGCAAAGGGACGCGGATTCACTCTATGCGGGGTTTCACTGTGGGGTGTCCTAGGATGTGGGATGCTGCTGACGGAGCCCTTGAACCAAAAGGGGTTGGGGGCTTGGCGACAAGCTTGGGGGTTGTAGCTGGGTAGCTGATGGGTTGTGGGAGTTAAGGGAGGTCGTGTGGGCGGCTTTCGGCGTGCGTGCTCGCCGGCTAAGCACTTTGGGCGCTTTTGTTGTTTTCCTGGCTTGTTGGGTGTTGCTCTATTGTTGTTGTTGTAGGTTGTTGTTTGTTGCTGATGGTTGTTGTTGCTGTTGCCGCTGCTCTTGCTTGCTGTTGGCCTTGTTGAAAATTGATAAAACAAATTGTCGATGTCGAGCAGTTCTGTTAATGTCGCCGGAGCCGGAAAATGTTTTGTTTGTTTTGTGTGATTTTGCTGATCTTTTTTTATTATTCGTTTATCCGTTTTTACTTCATTTTTCTTGTAGTTGTTGTTGTTGTTGTTGTATTGACTCTGGCTTTGACTCTTTTGGCGGCTTGAAAAATAAACCCCGATGGCTTCAAGTGTTTGGCCCGCAAACAGATTTATGCTCCAAGTACAAATGTTCGCGGCTTCAGTTTGAAGAACGTCGGCGCGGGTTCTTGTTTGCTTTTTTGTAGAGGAATCCCCTTGGATTAAGTCCTGATTTAGGGTTTAAGCTGGCTATATTTTCAATGTTTCTTTGATTTTACAAACCAAACTCTTAAGAGTTAAACTCGTAAGATTTATACATCAGTTTATTTTATATTTTTTGTTAATATATAAATATTTTTTATTATGCTAAACTATATTTTTCAAGCAGTCTTTTTAAACTAAACACCTTTTTATAGTTTTTTTTAATTCATTATTATAATTTTTGATTATTAGATATTATTTATTTATATAGTTTTTATATTTTTTAGCAGAAGCCATTATTTTTTTAGCTGTTTTCTTAGTTTTCAGCTTTCAAGTCTTCACTATACCAATTTCTATCAAGAGTTTTTGGATTTTATTTTAGGTTCTCTGAGTTAGGGTTTCCCCATTTCCGGTTTGAGGACAGTTTTCCAAAGTTTCAGCTTAGATTTCGTCTCTTTTTACTTGTATTTTTCAACCATTGCACGCACTTTTTTTTTGTTATTTACGGCGGTTGCATCTGCCGATCCGTTTCGCTGGCGACGCTCTAGTAAAACGGGTTCCGCAACCTGTCAGCGGGATCTCAACGGAACGAACGGTGACACGGCCGCCAGTGACGGTGACTGCGACTCCGACTGTGACTCGTTTTTCGGCCTGCCTTTTTTCGACTCTCGAGCGACGACGCGACGGCAGAGATGCGAGGATGCGAAGATGCGCCGCACCTACTCGCAACAAACTTTCGAAACAAACTGTTTTTCGGTCGCCGCTCGGCGAGCAGCGCCGTTGTGCGTGACAGAGAGAGCCCATTTCCGTGAGAGCGAGATAGCAGCTGCACATACTCTTCTTCTCGGCTGCACCATGCTCTAGAGAGCGAGCAAGAGGGCAAGCGCTCTGGTTGGCCAGCATTCCAATTAGACAGGAAGAGCCGAATAGCTGCCATTGCGCTTACTCTCGCCGGAAGAGGTGGTGGGTAAGCGAGATAGATTCCGCTCACTGGGGCTGTTGTTGCTCTTTTTGAGAACGCCCTCCTCCAAGCACTGGAAAGTCGTTCGCTCTTTCTCTCTCTGTCGTCGTTCCCCTCTGTCTCTCGTGCGGCATTGGAAGCGATTTGATGGCGGACCACGATCGAAAGGCTTCCTTCCCAATTGGATTCTATAACCAAAGTTGTCTAAGAATTTTCCCGATATTGATAAAAAATAATTGGGAAAATAACTTGGGAATTACACAAGAGTTGGTATGTGAGAAAATGGCCAAAATGGGATAATATCGGTTCATTAATAATTAAAAGGATATATCAAGACTTATTGGAGGAAGTGTTTTTCAATTTTAAAATATATAAAATAAACCAAACATTTTAAAAATACAGCAAATATTGCTTTTCATTGATTTTGATTCTCAAACATTTTAATATATTTTTATGACATAGATTTCTAATTTATACAAATTTTAAATATTTTAAAAACACAGCTAAAAATATAAACGTTTTTATTTGCATTCCATTTGTTACATAAGTCTGTTATTTAATTAATAATTGTGTTTATTTTCTTATGGAAAATGCCAAAAATTTAATATAATGAAAAAAACACATGTTGAAAATGTTTTCCTCTTTCACAAATCAAAAATGCAGACAACACAGAACATCAAATAAAATTAGTTCAAGTATTTGTAAGACAAATACATAAATTAACAATAATATAAAGAAAAAGAAAACATATTTTCGCCCTTGGGAATAACTTTAATAAATCTTTAAAAAATAAGCTAAAATAAATGTCAGACATTATATTATTAATTAGTGTTGAAAATTGAGAATTTCAAAGAAAGTATTTGAAACATTTCATAAATATGAAAGAATATAGAAATTGGCCCACTTGAATTCAAGGTCTCCCCACCGAAAATCCCAGCTAATTGGCACTAGCTAATCGTAACAAGAAACCGAAAATGGGGGAAAAATAAAACAAACAAATAAACAATTCCCGATTCCATTCGATCCGAGGACGAAGACGAAAACGAGGACGAGGGCGTGGCTGAGTCCACTTGAGAGTCCTCGTTCTAATTAATGCTTGCGGAGAGAGGGGAGCGTTTTTGGGGAATTTCTGTAAAATGAGTATTTTGATGTTTTGGGGTGTTAACGCGCTGCCATTTATTATAAATGTGAGCAAGGCATCTCAAACTCAAGAGCGAGGCACATGTGTGTCCCTTTGTAATTTTCCTTATTTTTCCTTCTTTTTTTCTGGTACTTACAAATGCACTCGTATGTAAATGAGCTGAGGGGCAAAGTATTTTCGGGAAAAGTGACAGCCTGCTCTGGGCTCATGATCGTTATGGTTATTCTACACTCAGTTTGCTGGACGTTGCTCTCGACGGCGCCACGAAATTCTAAACCCACTTCACAGGATCGGGGAGTAGCCAGCCAACTGGCAAGGATGCACATGGCCGAGAGCCGCTCTAATATAAAGTATTTATTTTTGAAATAGAAAACGAAGTGTTTTGAACTTGAAAATAATGAAAAGAGTTATTGATTTTGTATGATTTGATTTGGTAAAAATAGAGGAACGTTGTAGTATATTGTAGATTATATGTAAACACTTAAAAATGTCTAAAAATTTGCTTGCAAATTCTGATATTTATATTTTTCAAGACATTCAATATCTAAACTAATATTGAATAAAAAAAAAAACGATGTACTTCCATTTATTCTTAATACTAAAATGCAATATTTCTTATACTTACATTTTCCATAATTTGTATTCTTTGTCTTTTACAAAAATCCCCTTCATCTTATTCTAAACTCCATATTTATCTCATACAAAAAATATACGATTAAATAAATAACTCATTTCCAGACTTGGAAAAGACCTAAATCCTTTCGTGTCCCTCTTTCTCTCAATTCCTTTGAGTGATTTTCAAAATGATTTTCGATATGCGAATTGTGGCACATGTCGCCGCTTCGCCTGTCACCATAAATGTCGCCAAGGATCCCCAGGACGCCCATAGCCAGTGAGCTCTGTTTTCATTTAGTGCGACACAAACTCGAACATTCTTCACTCGGTGGACAGGACATGCAGATTATATTGAAAACAATTTAAATGTAGATTTTGGCGTTAAGAGAGTATTACTCTTTTGTTGCTGCCTGCTCCTTCTTCCTATGCAGATGCCAGGTGCGTTGGTTCAGGCTCCCACACACACACACATACACTCTAATAAATGTGTACAAATTTAACTGCTAATGTATGTCCTTGGTGTGTGTGTGTGTGTGAGGGGTGGCATGCAGAGTTGCAGGCAACTCCACCTGCCAGTCCCCCCGAAAGGCTTCTTACTTAAGTGTTGTTTCATGTCACCTGGAAAGCATTTGGACATGAAATTGTCGCTTTTCAGTATGTGGCACACTCACACACAGATGAACAGATACACCCACACAAACACCCAGGAGCAGCAGCAGCAGCAGCAACAGCAGGCTTTATTTCTCGGCGAAAAATCTTCTTCATACACACAAGCGAAGCAGCAAGGATAGTGCTCTTCTGAATATAATAAAATCCTTTTCGCAAAACGATAAACGATAAAGTCACCGGAACAAGCACAAAAAGGACTCGCCCATGCAAATTGCTTTAAATGAATTTGTTTTTGTTTGTATATGGGATGCACTTGAAGAATAAATTAATAGAATTAGGCATCATTCAAGAAAATAAACAATTTATTTGTAATTGTTCTTAAGTTTCAACTGCTGGTACTTCTAAATATGTGTTCTAAGATCATAATTAACATTTCTAACTAAGGAATAAAGGGTAAATTTGGTGTCCTTTTTTGGACACCCCTTGAACCCCTTGGAAACCCCTTGAAATGTAGTAAAAATATCCTAGAAACCCCTTAAAAATATTTTAAAATGTTAAAATACTACAAAAATATAAAACTCTTTAATTATATTTCAGAGCTATAAATTCTAAACATAAGAATAATGTTTTTTACAACATTTCCTCCATGTGTGCTTGTGCCTCGACCTGTCTTTGAATTCAAACCCACCGACGACTCCAAGGGGAGCCATGTTCTGTGTTTCAACACTAAAGATTCTGTTACAAATTGCCATAATCCTCGGGCAAATAATAGCAGAGCCACCATTTTCAAGCGGAAACTCAGGTGCGGGCAGGTGGAAGATGGTGGCAGGTGTGGGAGGTGCTTACCAATCAGCGTTCAACTTTATCAGCTTTTCCCTGATAGTGGCCGCCACTATCTGGGCGATATCGGCACCTGGCCATCTTATCGACGCACTCGAAATGAAATTGCTGATCAAACAGAACAAAAGCGCACACAACATTCTCCAAACATTCATAAATGGAAACATACTTATTTACTCACTTTTCAAAACAAATCAAC